AGTTATAGTAGAGATGATTGTGTTAGTGATAATTATTTGATATGTGCTATTTGTTATGATTATGTACTAGCATGATATGATGTTAGGTAGTAGGGGGAATAGTCTCCGTGTTACGCCCGTAAGGGTCGAAGGGTAGGTCGAGTACCCCATATATGCTCGACAATATGTTTATGCTAGGTTATTATGTGGTAGTAGTAGGGGTGGAATAGTCCCTGTAGCCGGTTGAGATAAACCGGAGGGTAGGTCGGCACCCCAAAAATGTCAGACAGGGTAGGTCGACACCCCAAAAATGTCAGACAGGGTAGGTCGACACCCCAAAAATGCCAGACAAGGTAGGTTGGGCACCCTAGAATTGTTTGACAGTATGTTAGTTATGTGGTATGTGATATGGTGAGGGAACTCACTAAACTTCGTGCTTACAGTTTTCAGTTTTATTTTCAGATACCTCTTCATCGAAGGGGAATGAGTTGGCTCGGTAGCAGCGCATCACACACACACACAAGATTTCCGCATTATGAGATTATTGGGATTGTACTCTGCTATTACTATTTTATTATATGGTTCTGAGATATGTGACTATGGTTTTATGAAATAATATAACTCGATTGACATTTTCTTATTATTGTTTTTGTAAGTCATTTTATCAAAAATGAAATTTTTGGTTTTAAAAATTGAGATGTTACGAAGTTACGTCCTTTTGTTACATAAGCAACAAAGTCTAATTTTTATTAATGTATGGGATAAATTTGTGGGTGCATATTTTGATTGAAAAAAACATATTACTTTATTAAATAAATAAAGAAATCATTAACCATTTTTAAATAAAACCAGCAAATATTACTATTCTGTTTTCACATGACATATATACATGCAACAAAAACATAACAAACAAAAGGGATACAAGCAAAATCAAAGACAATAAAAGAGACCAAGAGGGTGTACCAACCTTCAAAAGCGATGGAAATCTGAAACCAAATCCGTGCACCACAATGCTGGAAGTGTAAGTGCACCCTTGTTATCCAAACGGACTTAACAACATCAAAACGCTAAACAATGTTGCCGACTTTTATTTATGATTTATTATTTCATTCACCTTTGTAGGGCCTTAATATATCATACACACACAATGAAAAAGGGTGGGTACATTAGCACATTTATAAATCTAGATTGCTAGAGGATGTTTATGTTTAGGTTTTACCCGATGCTTTAAAAACCGGTTTTTTATTTGAACCAGTACGGTGACCGGTTCCCGATTTAACTGGTTCGACCATCGATTCAACCGATTTCTATAATGTTTTATCATTTTTCCTATTTTCCTACACACACATAGACATCCACAAGTTTAAACATTATATATATACATAAGTACAAGTTGCATATCTAAATACGTTAAAAACACATAACTGTAAATTTTACATCAATCTACAAACATAAAAAATAAAATTAAAATATAATACAAAAACAAAATATAGCTTTAAATGAATACAAATGCATTAAAAAAAACTTTAAAATTAAAACATTTACCATATGTTTTTATTCAAAGAAATCTAAACAAATGTGAAAAACCAAAGTTTGTTATGAAAATGAATAATTTTCATGTGTTTTTATTTAATTTAACCGGTTCAATCGGATTTTTTTAAAAACCAACCAGTTTATTCCAGTTAAAAAGTAAATATAAAATCAGTGCTAGTTGAATCACTTATTTTTTAAATTCCAGTGCAACTGATTCGACCGGCCGGTTCAAACCGATATTTAAAACATTGTTTTTCCGTACATACACTCATGTGTATAGACTTAATTAGGATCTCAATGGACAGTAAATATTTGTTAAATATGAATATATGTTTTTTTAAAAGGTGGTAAATTATATTAAAAGACGAGCTCTAGCGAAATGCTAGAAAGAAAATATTACAAACCAGTGGAAGATAAAAATAAGTTATGAATTTAAGCACACCAATTATTTTTAGCCTTTCTACTCTTATTACCAATCCATAAATACGACATGTCAACAACGTTATAATACAATAAAAATTGTAGGGAGTAGTAGACCCAAAAAGCACAGAGTTTCGGTAATTCCACAAGCTCCAAAAAGAAATGAGCACCATTGCATCAAAACCTTCCATTGACGTCCTCTCAACTCTGAAATCATATATAGATTGTTTATTCAAATTAAATAATACACATGAAAATATATGAAGTAAAATAATACACACATAAATATCTATTTATATATAAAAATACTCATTAATTTTGATATTTTGGTTTTTTTGATAATACAAAGTGTAAAAAAAAGGCAAATTGCAAGAAAGTTATTATATTACCATATAATTTTGATTTTGATACTAAGTTTTTTTTCTTAATCATGTCACTTTATTTATAATTTTTACCAACTGTAACCACTTTTCTTTAATTACAATAAAGTCATTAAATTTACCAAAATTTTGATTTTAACACCAAATTTTAAATTGCAAGAAAGTCACTATATTACTACAAAATTTTGATTTTAACACAGAGTTTTTTTTTCTTAATTATGTCATTACATTTACAGTTTTGTTGACATCTTTTGATTCGGTCAGTTGGTTGACATTGCAATAAAATAATAAATGTAATGACATAATTGAGAGAAAAAAAATCTGGTGTCAAAATCAAAATTTTATAGTAATATAGTGACGTTCTTGCAATTTGAAACTCTGTGTTAAAATCGAAATTTTGGTAAACTTAGCAACATTATTGCAATTCAGAAAAAATGGTTACCACGATAACAGAAAAAATCAATTATTTGATTAATATTACAACAAAAGTATAAATATAATAATATAATTGAGAAAAAAAAAAACTCAATATAAAAATCAAAATTTTACAGTAACATAACAACTATCTTGAAATTTGCCCAAAAAAAACAAACAAAAAAACAATGATTTTTCTAGTCCTTTTGGATGTGGAAAATTATGTTATTGGAATTTATACCCTCTTCTCAACTTTTTTTTTTTCTTAGTCTCAATACACACATACATACTAACGAAACAGATATAAACAAATATTATGTCTGAACAAATAAATGATTCGTTGAATGTTTGGTTGTTTTTTATTTTATTTTAAATATAAATTTATTTAGATATAAACAAAAACGGAGGTGTAATTGAAAGTTGAAACGGATTGCATTAAAGTATGGGTGTGCATGAACAGTCAACAATCAACAAACCTCCCATACCGTCATACCCATTAAATTAAACGTGCAGCAGCACAGCGCAGAAGTTTAAAGTTTCATAAATCTGCCCCATGCAACTTTGAATTTAATTTCACAAGAATCTCATATCATATCATAATTCATATGCTGCGTTAGCCATGTTACAGCTGGCCATCTCCGCCCAAACACGGCGGCTGTGTATGGGCTGATTTGTACTTTTCGCCGCCGACACCAACTTCAGATTCAGATGGTCACAAGTCACACGTAACACGTAGCCATGTTCATTCATTGCCTGCCCTTTAACGCTTCATCATAAATCCATAATTCTACCTTGTATAAAATATTGATTCATTAAATTAAATAATATAATATATTGAATTCCGTTCTAGATTATATAGTAATAATAATATGTATTCAATTAGTGAAATAAAAATTGATTATAAACTATATGGGGGGAGACAGATGATTAAGAGTGTGCATGTCATCATATTCTAAAATATAAATTGAATAAAATTAGGTTAATTTTGTATGTTATTTGTTGTTTATTTGATATGTTAAGAAATATATATGTTGCATGTCAGCATATTCTAAAATATAAATTGAATAAAAAAAATATGTTAATTTTGTATGTTATTTGTTGTTTCTTTGAAATGTTAAGATATATATATGTTTGGAGGTGGTGATGTTCAAAACCGGGTATAGAAATTTTGGATATTTCGGATAGTGGATATTGACATGTGAATCTGAAATTTGTTAAGGAAATAAAATAAAATATATTGCTATAAAAAAGGTAGGTTTAATTATAAATTTGGTTACTTTTATTTTGAATATCATTTTAGGTTTAATGGTTTGAAATCTTTTAGCTACCACATGTGTAACCTAATTGTTTGGTTTAGTTTGATTTTTGTGATGGCTTGATAAGTTTACATTCAAGAACAAATCATATGTTATACACATGTTGATTTTAAAATATGCGATTTAATGGAACTGTCATGTATGTATATTTTATGAGAGCATTTAAAAAAAAAAAAAAAAAAAGCTATCATTGGTTTCTTCACGTTATGCGTTACCTTTGTTTTAAAATAAATATGATCAATTGAGTTCGTAAGTCGTAACTTTTTATTTTTAAAATTAACTTGTAAAACAGAACAAAAGACAGTCAACCTAAAAACGGTAACCTCAAGTTTCATTCAAAGAAAAAAAACTAAAAAATTCATGATGAAGGAAACAAAACGAGTTAAAACCTCAAGATGTCTCTTTAACTTGTACAAGGGTATCTTTTGGCCGCTTTTGCTTTCTCTACTCCAAAATAGTTTAGTTTTATTAATTTTTATGGATAATATATTGGTTTATGATGGATTAGAGAATGTAAAATCTTTTTATTTGTGATAGATTGATAATCAACCTTTAAACAAAACTTAATTTATTTGCTAAAATGTTACACTTAAAGGTTAAAACTATAACCCCAAATTGCATGTATGACGCATACTCTTTTCGATAATATTATATTTCATTTATTTCCGTAGAGAATATATTCAATGAAAAAAAAAAAAAAAACTAACATTGTTTTTAGTTTGTTGTAATTTATTTTAATTCTTTGCTAGTTTAGTAATAAAATAAACATATAAATGATAAATTTCACATAGCATAAAAAATACAACATTTTTGCTAAATCTAAGATTTGGTATTTGTAAACATAACTATATATATACACATCTATCCTCACCTAATACCACATCAATGCCGCCTATATCTATATATTAATTACAAAATATATTTAATTAACTTTTTTTTTTTTTTTGTAAATGTTTATCTATCTTTCTCTTGTCATCTTAAGATGAGCTCTATCTGCCTTCACAAGCCGATTATGGAATTGGATCCACTCTCTTTTGCACCTATTTCTTACCTATCATTATTATTTTTCAACAAAAACCAAAAAAAAAATATTCTTCACTATAATATCATTACCTTAAACATGTTTTTTTTTATAAATATATATATATATATATATATATATATATATATATATATATATATATATATATATATATATATATATATATATATATATATATATATATTTACTTACCCTTTTCCATCCATATTTCCCATTCACAATTTGACCCTAAAACAAACAAACAAACCACATTAAAAGTGACTGCATGGGTAATTAAATTACAATTTTACCCTTACATTCCAAAAAAATTAAATTCACCTGAATCCCAAGTGTAGGAATGACTTGATGAACGATCCACTGTGAATCCACCACACCAATTTTTTCATGTGCAGGCTTATATCACAACAACCAATTAGTATGTATTAATAAACATATATTTATTTATTTTTTTCATTTGCGTGTTGTCATTTTCTCAAATATTATTTATCCAGACAATAATTACTTGAGAGTGGAATTATACACGAAAAGGAAAAACACATGGGAAGGGCAAAAAAGGAATTAACAAACCTCTACACATCTTCTAAGAGCAAAATCCAAACCCCATCCATGCACCAAATCATTCTCCATGTCCATAAAAAAAAAACCCCAATATTAGTATATATATTACAACAACATTTACTTATATTTCTTTACAAATAATAGCAATATTACCAAAAATAGTAATGTACATAGATTTTCCTACTTTATTTGTTACATATAATTGCTATTATCAGTAAAGAAATATTTTTACCTGAATCATATGCCACACACACCACCACGCTTCCCTAGAGAAAACCGGAGCCATAATCTCTACAAATCTGAATTTTTTTTTTTTAAATAAAAAAATAGAAAAACTAGTTATAATGAGAGAGAGAGAGAGAGAGAGAGTACGCTGCACATGGAGGTAAATGAGGATCAATGCACCATCCAGGTCTCTCTTGTGTGTCCCTGTTGACATGGAAAAAGAAAATTAATATTAAAATATTTATATTAAATTAAGAAATTAAAAAAAAAAAAAAAAAAGAAAGAAAAAGAAAAATGGAGAACAAACATACTTGTGAACTTCTTTATCACCTCTTCTTTTTGTCATTTGCCATGTTAATCCATCATTGGGTTCAAGCCCAGGTTGAGAAATCTCCAAACCATGTTTTTTAACCAACTCAATATACCTTCAACAATCAACACTTTCATATTACTATAAATATAATATAAATGATTTATCACCCAAAATTAATAAAAATTAAAATATATATACTTGTCCCCATTGAAATGTTCTACACCAAGATCTTCATCCCATATAAATATATATTCATAAGCTGCCACAATATCTGGATGCATAAACCTCTTTGCATACCACCTATACAAAAACTTATTATTATTATTTTTTTTTTAAAAAGAGAAAAGGAAAATAAAAAATGTAACTTTTTTTTTTTTTTACCATTTGGTTTGTCCTTTTACACTGACATGAATTGCATCCTTTGACCACTCATATTGATCCCATTCTGTTGTTCGACCATCATAGTGAAAAAGCAAGATTTGGAAATCATCTGAAAACTAAAAAACATTATTCCCAAATTAGCCTTGACGCATTAAACCCAATAAAAATAAAAAGTGATTAGTGAAACCTTTTTAACTGAAGCATCAATGTTGTCTCTTTGATCCCAACCAACTGTGAAAGTTACCAAATATTTTGGCTTCTTCTTTATATCCTTATAAAATCCAACACATTATAATAAGTAAGCAACAATTAATGAAATGTCAGACTCAGGGTAAAATCGTCATTATGTAAACATACCTCACCAGGATCACCCCATAATCTTCTTAAATATAAATCTGTTTGTGGGACCACAATTCCTGGAGGTAATGACTCAGCACCACGTGGATTTTTAGGAGCATAAATCTGAGGTTTTACAGGTTTATTAAACGAGTCCAGATTTTCAAGGGCAATATGGTCAAAAGCCCTTGATTGATATTCATTCATCGTTGACAAACGACTGCTTGAAGGTAAGTTAATCTGTAAATTATCAAAGGAAAATCAAATGCAATATAAGTATATGTATATCCAAGATTTTAATATAATGTAACCTAACCTTTGTAAGAGCAACATATGGAAAATGAATCCCAATCAAGTATCCAAAGATTACTCCCATAATTGAAGTTATAATTAATCTTGCACTATCATTTGGCTTCTTTACATTGCTTCTGTATAAAAAATTTAATTATAAACAAACCAACAAGATTTGAAATTTTGAACTAAAGTTTGGAAAAACTATTTAGGCTTTACCCTCGATGAATGTTTTTCATTGTGGTAAAGAAAGGCCAGATTTAGGGTTAAAGAAAGCACAAGGGAAATCCAATTGCATGAAGAGATTCTAAAGAACATACAGCAAGTTCCCAAAGATATAAGAGTGTGAAACAGTGTTACTAGGAATGGAAATACCTGAAAAACCATGATTAGGGAATAGTCAGTATTGGTTTGCAATTTCAATATGATTCAAAGTTTATGGGGAGTTTTCATCCTTTGTTAAACCAACAAAAGATGGAAGAAGAAAGAAATTTTTCTCAAATAAGCAAACAACAAGGTTTATAAACAGAAAACGATTGTCTTGTTTCTGTATATAGTTTAGCACAATTTCATCGAACTCAAATCAAGTGTCCTCTTTTGAGTTCAAAATTCATGTCTGGAAATGGAATTTCCCTATTTTAAAACTAGCATGAATCGTATTTGCATTTCCCCTTTTGATATGTTTAATCGAAAATTTAAGATTCAACTTCCAATTATAGTAATTTAAAGTTGAAGAAACACAATAACATCATGGCAAACAATCAAGCGTTTTTGCATATCACGTACAAACCCTAAACACATCCTGTTGGTATATAACAGAAACCGATCATATGAAATATTTTCGAAGGAACTTGCACCCTTCATTTGAAACGCGGATGCAACATTCAAACAATCAATGATATTACACATGAGAATTCAAAGAAATTTAGAGTTAGAAGATGCTTACAGGTCTGAGGTTTCCACGATGATAGGGAGGGAGAGATACGCCGTCTTCCTGTGAGATATTGGTATGATTTTGGAAGGAAAATTTCCAGGGATTTTGAAAATAATTTGGTTATAACTTGAGAATGTATCATAATTTGCTTACATTGTGATATTGGGTAGGTGGTGTCTCCATTAACGTTCTTCGTGAAGATTGATCGCCATTTTTTTTTTTGGAACAGGCAATGGGTAACGGCCGATGTGCAGGCGCGAAGAGGTATTTGGATTTTTATAAATACGCTATAAATTTTATTTGAAAAAGAAAACTGATTTAAGTAATTTCATTTGAAAATTAAGTTTTAAAAGTAATGATAGAAGTTTATAATAATATAATTTTTATTTTTTAATCGAGTTTTTTATTTTGTTATAAAAAGATATCATGAAGATTTTAAAATTCATAGTGAAACTAACTACATTCCTTACGCATGTAATTTGCCAGGAAATGTACTTTTGGTTTTTTTTGTCGATCTATATTTTAAAGACTTTCAAACATTTATGAATATATAATCAAGTATGTTATTAAGTAACAATTTACTATAAATATGTTCGTATAAAGTTGGATTGGTGCTAGCAGAACAAAAAGGAAATTGGAGTACTATAGCATCTCAAAAAATATTATTTTTTTTGCTTTTTATATATGAAAATTTTATTTGTACACATGTTTATGTCATTATACCCCCGGAAAGGAATTGTACGATGTTTAGCATCGAGATATGATAACTACATAACTCAAAAGACTATTTTATTTTCATATTTATTAAAATTAAATCCAACTGAACGTTGGTAGCCTAACGATGACTCGGAAGATTCAAATGTAACATTTGCTTAAACTATGTTTTTGCAATTTTCGACTTCAATTATTAAGCAACTCTCTGCAAATACTATTTTGAATCTCGATAATGTTTATATCCTCATATCAAAATTATTAGCTCCGTAACATGAAAGTCTTGTATGACAAGAAGGTTCATTGAAAATGAGTGGTAAATTTTATAAGGTGTTTGTTGGGGTTGACTATGATATAGGCATCTGAATGATGGTCAAGCAAGAAGAAGCAAGAGATGAAGATGGAAATAGCAAAAATGAAGATGTGGTGGTTGACATGTGGTAAAATATAGGGTGGTGTTAATACACCCGATGATAAGGAGTGGAGACGTCAACCAAGGAAGAAGTGGAATGATAGTGTGAGGTTAGATATATAAGAGTTGACCCTAGATTGAAACAGACTATTATCAGATAGCAAAATAGCTTACAGTGACATGTTTTTGTTTGTAGTGTTTATGTATTTGTTTTTTTATATGAAACCATGCCATCACAAAGTTGAAACTCATAGGATTTAAACATGTCGCCCTTTCTTTTAAAGATTTTAAATGTCACATGATATATAAACCCATTTTGGTTACCAAGAACAAAATGGTGATTACTAAATGATAGCCGGTTTACAATTTTCACAAAATGCTATTGAACAAGCCTTTAGTATTTTATTTATTTATTTTATACCATAATACAAATCTTTTTTGTGACAATAACAATGAGTAGATACGTAATTTTTTATATGAAGTTTCCATAAAAGATATTGTAACTTCCATAAAAAACTATTAAAGTCAACTTTTATCAATTTAATAGGATGTAAACTATGTGTACAACCTTACACCATATCTATCTCACTTTGATTTCAAAAGATCTTTCTTTTATGTGCTCTCATTTCAAACACTTTAGATCTTCCGGAATGATTACCACAAGTCATTGTTGTTAGCTCACCACAAATAATCACAACCAATCATTTTCTTTTTTTCTATCTCTCAACCTTTTAATTAATTAAAAAATATATTTTTTATTTAAATAAAAAAAAAAAATAAGAGAGATAATGATCTGGAATGATTAGTAATGAATACACCAAACTCATATAGTAATAATATGGTAATGAGATGATAGTGATATCATATTTGTATTAGTGATAAGTATATCATATGACCTTATATTAGGTCATATAAGTTGTGTTTGTATAGATACTTTCGTTTTATTTTATTTATTTATTTATTTTTTGTTTATTTTATTTTATTTAAGTTTTTTTACAACTTTACTCATGTAATTAAATCTTGATTTTATTTTTATTTTTTCATCATGATCATTTACATTTTCAGTTTATAACAATTCTCAAATAAACAGATAACTATTATCTAGAATCAAACGATCATTTTTTTTATTCATTTTTTCAATTAAGCCAAAAAATAAAAGCCTTAGTTATCCATTACTTTACCCATACATGATACATTACTTACGGAGAAAAAAAAACATCCCCTAAAAGTCCATAACAACAATTTTCTTCACACAATAATCTTGGAGTTTTGCTTTTTAATCTCAAAAACAAGTAAAAAACCATTATATTTTTTCTTGACAAAACACCTTTGGTTTTTTTTCAAATAACTGAAACTTTGTGTTTACAAAATACCATTAATTTAATAGCTTTCAACGGTGTTTTGTGAATAAAAAAATAAATAGTTCGTTTCCAGTTTATGACATTTAAACCTATTAAAAAAAAATACAATCAACCAACGACATTAGTTTTTGCTGCAAGATAGGTGAGAGACTGTTTATGGTAATTAATCCGAAGTTGTTTATACTTTTTACTAAAAGTCACAACATCAATCTCCTTTCCAAGAAGCTGTTCATGTAGCATTTCTGATTCCTCATCCGTTTTATTCATACACTCTGAAGTAAAATCACCAACAATATATATCATCAGATTAATTCCCAAAAATGACAAATAATCAATTTTTTAAAGAAAATATATATATTTATTATACCTTGTAGCTTGTTTAGCAAGGAACCCGGGGAGTAACATTGAAGGAGTTGGCTTTTTTTCTTGAGCTCATGTAGCTTTTCTTGAGCAGATGCTAATTCCATTGTTCGTATGATCATACACTGTAACACCACATGTAATGAGGGTATTTTGGTCTATTATTAAAAAAAAAAAAAAAAGAATGGAACTGATTTCCATTGATTTAGCAAAACAAACATGCCACGATGGAATGGAATCTGGAATTCCAGTTATATTTAAGTGCCCTGAAAAACTCACCTGGTTCCTTAATTCAGCTATCTGGGGTTCTTTTTTCAAGTTTTCTCCTGCATAACAAACATATCATAAAATCACTCGTATATTATTCAAGGGTATTTTAGACATTTGGTAAATAAATCCATGGTCAAATATTCAATGGAGTAGATTATCCACTTCATTTTTTTTTTTGTTGTTTTTACTTTATTTCAACTTTATTCAGGTTAATAATTTGATAAAAAGGCTAACACATCAAGTAAGAAACTTACTAGCAAGTTGCAGGGTTTCTTTCTTAAGCTCATCTCGTACCTGGTTAAAAACAACAAATATATATATATATATATATATATATATATATATATATATATATATATATATATATATATATGGGTAAAGTGAATATACCTAACAACCTTATATAAGCTTAGGTACCTAACCACATTATACTACATTGTTTTGCATTATATTTCCATTGCAATCGTCTAAGGTTCTTAAACTTCAATCCTTAGCTTGATTAACTTCCAAGATTTTCAAACATTCACCATTATATTCCTCCTACACCATTTGATTTGTAACGGTAATATATGAAGCCCTCCAGGGGGTCTCCGATAGAAAGACGTCATTTGAAGGAAGATAATGGTGAAAGTCCAAAGATTTTGGAAACAATCAAGTTATGAGTTTGAATTTTAAGAACTTTGGGTGATTACAATGCAAATATGATACAAAATTAAATAGTATAATGTGGTTAGGTACCTAAGCTTATATAAGGTTGTTAGGTATATTCACTTTACCCTATATATATATATATATATATAAAAGAGAAAGTTACAGGAATTAGCAATGTTGTTATTCCTCACTATTTGTCCAATATATAAAGATAAAAATAACTGGAAGACTAAATCAAAACATCAAGAATATAAGAACTTGTGATTAAAAAGATAAAAGTTTGTTGCTTACATTATTCTGAGTTCTTACAGGATCAATTGAAAGCAAGAACTGTTGATAGGCTGCTTGATCAGATAAAAGCGTCCGTAGCTCATCAATACTACACC